TGAAAGTATGAACCTCTAACACAGACCTGAAGAAATGTGCATCATCTTAGCAGTGGACTCATGTCTGCTTGTTTCCTGTCATTTCATTTGACTATAAAGAATGTTTGAGACATTTTAGTGTAACTGAGTCCTTCTGCTGTTTATTTATTCCCTGTATTTTCCAGAGAGTTAATTCTGGAATTCTGGAGGCTTTGAAAAACTCTGGCAAAAGCTTAGAGGCAGAGCAGATGAAGAAGGTTATTAAAGGTACAAGTCATTATCAGATTACCAGAATGGCAAATGATATATTTTCATGTAATGTTAAAGCATGATTAAACACAAAACATGAGTAAAATTATATCTATAGCTTTAAATTTTCTCTTGCATTGTTTTCACCAGAGTACGAGAAAAACGGTGCACCCAAGAACTTTGTGGACCGAGTGTTTGGTGGAGAGATGAGCAGCACAGTGATGTGTAAAGAGTGCAGAACTGTGTCTCTGGTGACAGAGATGTTTCTGGATCTTTCTCTTCCTGTAGCTGATGAGGTGAGCTTCATATAGCTGCTTTATCCCTCATGTGAATATTCTGGGAAAGTGAACTGATTTGAGTGTTTCCTCCAGGCCTACGGGAAGAAGAATCAGAAGAAGGCCACCCAGTATCGCAGCAGCGTCAGTGATGATGGAGACCGAGAAAACACAGCATCTCTGGCCAATGGGAATGAAGACATGCCTACAGGAACAGGAAGCAAGTACCAGCAGAAGAAAGCAAAGAAACAGGCCAAGAAACAAGCCAAGGTAAAGACACACACACAGGTTCAAATCAATAAAGTGGGAATAATAATGTGTTTGTAATTACGTCTGTTAAAATTAGTGAAACTCATATATATTGACCAGGCTGTTTAATATGGCCATTTAGTGTTAACAGCTTTTTGTGTGAATTGAGAATATATTGTTTAAAATAAATCTAAAATAAAAATAAATTCAAATCTAGTATGTATATATCACAGTTATATGAGCCAGAATTAAATTGCAAAAATGTTGCAGTTTATTGATTTAGCTGATTAACAGACATTTTAGCTCCAAATCTTAATTTTTTTTTGAGAATTTTGAGTAAATATTATGTAAAATAATGTTCTTTAAATCTCATTTAAATCTATTATGTATATATTGCCTTTATATTGCCATTCCAAAGAGAAAGGAAAACTTGAAATTGCATCATATGACCCCTTTAATAATTGCTTTGGCCGATTAATGCACATTTTAGCCTCAACTGTTCTTATTTTTTAGTGAATTTTGAGGAAAATATGTAAAATAAATGCTCACTTCATTAAATTCTATTATGTATATACCACCATTATATATGCTAGAATTAAATTGCAAAATATTGCTATTTATTATTAATTGCCGTTTCAAACTCTAATGACACCCTGCCTGAATTTTCATAATTAAGGTTTGTTTTTTTTTGTCCCAAATTGTTTTCACATATGAACATGAACACATATCATGTTCCAGTAACATCATTTTCAAAATATAAAGTAGAATTCCGATGATGTGAGATACAGCTATATGCTTATTATTGACTTTTGTGTCCATAGGGTCAGAGACGTCAGCAGAAACTGGGCAGTAAAGTCACTCTGGACTCTCTGACCAATCAGAGCACAGCTAGCAGCACCGATCCAGCAGACGCCTCCAATCAGAGTGTATCAGTAAATGGCAGCGTTGATGCAGAATCAGGCGAAAACATCCAGGAGCATTTGAGCCTTGAGAAACCTCCTGCATGCTCACAAAATGAGGATGAAGACGACGAGGAACCCGAGCAAGAGCATGCTACTTCTGTCAACAACCGCTTCACTGCCTTATCTGAAGACCAGACCACTGAAGATGTGTCTGTGGAGGGAGAAGAAATAGAAGATGTGAATATAATTGAGAAAGAGGACTGTGCTCACCAGCTTTGTGATGAAGAGGATCAGTTAGTAGAAGAACTGAATGCTGTGTCACTAAAAACAGCTTCAGAAGATGAGATGGAGAATGGAGATGAGGCCTCAGGTGATGCTAAAGAATACACAGTGGTGAATCAGGACCCGGAGCTGACCTTTCAATCACTGGCCAGCAGGGCGGCGCCAGAGAAGCAGGAGTGTTCGGTGGAGTCCTGCCTGTATCAGTTCACTGAGGTGGAACATCTCACAGAGAACAACAGACTGATGTGTGTCACCTGCACAAAACGCCAGTCTGAACATAAAGCCGCAGACGGTACTGTGCTCAACTATTACCATAGTAACAGCTGTTTTAGCTCCCTCTTGTCTCTGTTTTAAACTCAGTTGACAGTCCAGTCTAGGGTTCAGAAACTTTTTGTCAGCCGAGCCACTTAGAACATATTTACCCCCTGAAATTTTAAGTTACTTAGTATTTCTATAATTTAACAATACTGGTATTGTTAATGATATTGGTTAATGGTTGTATGACATTCAAGTCAACATAAAATATCAGTTTTCCCCCCCTTTTATTCTACAGTGGGGCTGCATGACTTATTGTGATTATTTTGTCATATATTATGATTTCTACATATATCCACTGCTGAGACAAAAAGAACATAAACTCTGTTACTAATGGAAACAGTAACTTTTAAGTTTTCTTTTGGTTCGATCTCTAGATAGAAGAGACAACTAACACTACAAGTTACAATAGAAATATTTATTCTACCCTTTCAAATGTTCAAACCCTTGAGCTTTTGATGGCAATGTTTTTGCGAATTTAAATATTTTGTAAATATTTAAATTTAAATTTTTTGCAGTATAAATGTTTTAGCTATTTTCTAACATCTCATTTTGCGATCATTAAATGTTTATATTTAATATGTATAATTTATAACTTTATTCATCCCTGACCACTTTCAGATTTTAAATGATCATAATAAGCTTCCAAAAATCATTGCACACCATTTACTTGTATTTGCTGCTGTCCAGTTTTTTTTGGACCTTCTGAAATTAGCTATTTTTTTTTTGTCATTAAACACAAAATTTCATAAACCTCAATTGTGAAAGCAGTGCTTCTAAACAGATTTTGTCGTTGTCGTCAGGTTGTAAGAAAGCTGTTTACAGAGATGCCCTGAAGCAGATGCTGATCTCCGATCTTCCGGCAGTTCTCACGCTCCACCTGAAGAGATTCCAGCAGGTAAAACAGCTTGTTCCTCCTCTGCCAGATATCTTCACGCCAATACACTTAAAGAAATCTGCATTTAAGCCCTTCATTGTGTCATTCACCTGTAGGTTGGATACAGTGTTTGTAAGGTGAACAGACATGTGCAGTTTCCTCAGATCCTGGATCTCGCACCATTTTGCTCTTTAAACTGCAAGGTGAGCAAATGATCGTTGGGTTTTCACGATATTTTTCCATCCTTACATCACTCCTTGGGTTCTGGGTTCAGTAAACTCACTCAAAACTGTGTTTTCAGGGAGTGAAGGAGGGCGAGACGCGAGTGCTGTATAGTCTTTACGGTGTAGTGGAACACAGCGGCACCATGCGGTCTGGACATTATACAGCTTACGTCAAATCACGACCTTCAACACACAATTATGTAGAAAACGGGCTCGATGCTGGTTGTGAGTATCTGCGCTGCTGAATCTGAGGTTTCGATTAACTTAGTGGATTTATATGAACATGCATTAATATCGGAGGACATAAAATCAGTTAAATTTGATGCAAGCTTATTGTTGGAAACAAAGTTACATTTTGATTATTATCATCTATTTCCAATCATCATCTCGTAGCAGGTCACGCCGAGGCCAGTAAAGGATCATGGTTTCACATTAGCGACAGCAGTGTTCATCCGGTTCCAGAGGCCAAAGTGCAGAGTTCCCAAGCCTACCTCCTGTTCTACGAGAACATCTCATAACTCGTATGAGGAACAATCTTCAAAACAAAGGGCTGCTGGTGCTTCATTCCGACTCGATTGCTGCTGCTGCTGCTGCTGGGAAATCCTGTTAAAACACTCTGCAAATGAAAACTTGAATCAAAGTCGTTTTGTATGAGCATCGTCTTTTATTTTTTCTCTCTGTTATCAGCTGCTGTTCAGGGGGAAGTTTTTATTCATCCAAACAAGATGCACAACTTGGGATTTATTTTTTAACTGAAGTTAATCATTTCCAGTGGTGACTCAAAAGCAATGAAATATTTTTTCTTACCTCTAGATCATGATGGAATGGTTTGATTGGGCTGTGGTGCGGTTATTTGTCTCATACAGCGTTTCTCAAAGAGTTTCTGAGTATCCTGCAATCTTCCTGGACTCTGCTGCCAAGACTGATAGTCATTTTGCATGAATCTCATAAGGAAAAGTCATATTCCATCCCAAAATTAATGGTATATATATATATATATATTATTCTCATTATTATAAAGGAGTCTTATTTTTATTTATGTTTAGTAAATTATCATGGACACATTTTTTAATGTTATCAGTGTTAAGAATGTGTTTAAAATCTAATAAATAATGGTCTTAAGAATAGGATTAATTTTTATATATAAAATAATCAAACTATATATCTATCTCAGTAATGTCCAGGTCAGTGATTTGGCCCCTGAGTGTAGGGGCCACGGCCCCTGATTCTCTCTCCATCTTACAGCAGCGTCTTCAGACAGCGGAGCAGCAGACGGAGGAGTTAGTGAGGAGTCTGGGCTCTTTGGGAGCATCAGCGGATAAGCTGCTCGTGATCTCTTCGGACGGGAGCTCCTCTAAGCGTCCCATCAGTCCTGTGAGCATCCACCGGGCCCTGAGTGCCGCAGGAGAGGGCTGCTGTGGAGACAGTGTGAAACGCTCGTCGCACGAGTGTGCAGATTAGAAAGTGTTTTGCACGCTCTGAAACTCACCACCTTCTGTCTGGAGACGGACAGAGAGCACAATCCATCCCACACGGGTCAGTTTTCAGTGTGTGAATCTAAAAGTGAATTATGCATTACAACAGCATGAAAAATGGATATTTGAGGTACATTACATTTAAGTGAAAGTGACGTGATATGTGGCCAAGTATGCAGTCCTCTTCACGGCAGGAGGTGCTGCAGTTACAGGATGAGCTGCAGCAGGCCTGTGAGCAGAGACAGGAGGCGCAGCGGGAGGTGCTCAGACTCATGGAGGCGCTGGAGAACATCACCCCCGCTAAAGTAAAAGAGCTCATGGACTCATATTAATGAAGAGATTACATGCAATATTTGTGCTTTTAAAATTTACTGGATATTTATAAGGTTTATTAAATGAACTGCAAAAAAATCCAAAGATAATAAATAAATAAAAGTATTTATAAATAAATAAAAAAACATTAAACATGCCTTTTTAGCAGTGTTTTTTAGTATCATGTATATGCTATTATAGTTTTATTAATTAATTGAATATATAAATTATTATTTTATATTTTTATATTTGCAATTTTTATTTTAGATGAATTTTTAGTAATTCTGTTATGTGCATTTTTATATATATATATTTTAATATTAGTTTTTTTTTTTCAGTTTGTAATTTTAGAACTACAGGGTGGTGTTTAAAAAGTTTCTTTTTCACCTAATATTTAAATTTTTTATTTCAGATTTCTTTATTTCAATTAACAGAAATGTTTTTTTTTTCAATCATTTTTAGTTTTAGTTAACAATAACAGCACTGTTTTTAAAGAATGTATATTCATATTTTTCCAATTTAAACTGATAAATCTTTATAATGTGATAAGTATAATAGTTATTCCAATCTCATTTGATAGTTCTTGAACTTCTGCATCTGTTCGCAGATGAAGGAGCAGATGGCACAGGAGACTGCAGCGCACTTGGAGACTGAGCAATCCCACAATGCAGTGCTGCTGAGAGTGGAGGAGATGGAGAGAGTGGTAGAGAGGGAGAGAAAACAGGTAAACTGACTCGAAAAGGTTCATATTATGTCCTCATTTGCCATGATCTCACTTCATGTCTGATTGATAAATATACTTGAATAACTTGTCCAGCAATTTCTATGCTACAGTAATGAATGATCTTGAATCATGTGTCTTGATGAGAAGAGGCTGTTTCTAAATGATCAGACTTGCGATTTTCTCCTGATGGACGATAAAATGGGCCAATACAAAACACCATTCAAGACATTCATAAAATGCCTAATTTAAGCTTTCTGTCCTCTTTGCTGGTGTCTTGTCAGGTGGAGGTTCTTCAAGCAGACTGTCACGCCTTACGTACTGACGGACGGGCAAACAGGGAGGAGCTAAAGAAGAGGGCGGAGCAAATTCTGGGCCTGGAAAGAGAGTGTCAGCAGCTCCGAGATCAATCCGGTCAGACACACTGAATTCTGGGACATTTCAAACTTTGTTTATGCTACAGTATGTCTGTTGGTTGTGAAACTAAAGTGTTTTGTTTCCTCGCAGGAGTGAAAGAGACTCTGATATCACAGCTGACCAAAGAGATCAAGGTACGAGAACATGTGAGAGAAACACTGACAGCGGGAATGAAACGTCTCATGATGCTTGTGTGTGTTTAGAGCGTGAAGACGGCTCTGCAGAAACAACAGCAGGAGAACAGAAGACTTATTAGAGATGGGCGAGACCTCAGAGCAGCTGCAGATCAAGTCCAGGTACACACACACACACACACACACACACACAAACACAATCTGTTCAGCATTATATATTTATTTTAGCTCAACAAAGCCAACATACTGTCATTGTACAGATTTGAATTAGAGCAATGGTTCTCAATTTAGTTTGGTGACATCCCCATTTGAAAGTGCAAAAACATTTGCCTAACCCCCATAATCTGATTGTCTTGAAAATATTCTATTATATATTATAATACTAAAGGGAAAAAGAGTGAGCTGCAATATAAGGAGTTAAATTGTTCTTATCTAAGAATTTATGTGAAAAAACATCAACTGCAGACAGTTTCTCAGAGCTTTTAAAGTTTTTCTGACAAAAAACAGCACAGTTTTGTCGAAAAAAAACTATGAAAACTGCATGTTATTTCTGTCTTCACTGTTTTGTTTGAATAATGAAGTTACACTCTTCATTTAAAAATAAAACTGAATTAACTTTTTTTTGTCAGAAAAGTTGCAAATATTTACATAAAGCTTTTAAATGATTAAAAATGGGCTCTTACAATATTCCCAAATAAATGAATAAATAAAAACTGATACTGCAATATTAAAAGAATAAAAATCCTTTCATTTTCTGCAAACCCATGTGACTTTATCATCTGTGAAAGTCAAGGAGGGATGAATGGAAGGTCATTGTAAATGTCAAGCTCCAAAATCATATAAAAGTACCATATAGTAGTGCATATAATTTCTTCGCTGTGCTCTATAAACTTCTGAAGTCGTTCAAATAATTTGTGTGAAAAACAGACTACAATTTAGGCCATTATTCATCTGGCCCATATGTATCCATCCATCTTTGTTAAGCCAACCACATGATAAAGTTTCCTTTTCTGGGGCCGGTTGGATAAACATAGACACTGTGTCTTAAGAACTAGTTTGACCAATTAGCAGTTAGACAAGAGATTATTAGTCTCACTTTTCTGATTAAAATTGAGGCAATCTACATTTTTGCAACTGACTTTAAACAGTTATGACCAGTCTGTAAGAAAACAACTTAGATGGCTAACTTTTTAAGACTAGTCTAAGCAGTTTATGCAACCGGCCCCTGATGTGAAAATGTTTGTGCATGTTATGAATAAAGCTTAATATAAAAAGTTGACCTCTTTCTTTCTCTCAGGTGTTGAATGAAGAGTTAGAGGGTCAGTGTTCAGAGCTGAGCTCTGCTCTTCATTCATTAACACTGGAAAACACTCGACTGCAGACAGAATATCACAACAAAATTAAGGTATTTCTATTTAGTTTCAGTTTTAATGTCATTTGATGGCATGAAAAACAATTGTACATTAGAACTGACAAGGTGTCATAAGGAACAAAATAACACCAATAGTAATAGTTAAACAGTAAAGTAGGATTAGTTTAATTTATGCTCTCAAATGAAATAGCAGAGCAAAGTAAAATAAGATAATAAAACAAATGTAGCAAATTAACACTAATTGAACAAATGATTAAGAAGGATAGAACTGGAAAATATGCCAGTAAGATTAAAACTGAACAAAAGTTCTGCTGATAGTTTCTCTCAGACACTGCTGTGCTTGTGCTGTTTGTTCAGGCGGAGCGAGATCGTGTGTCTAAACACCTTCAGGAGCAGGATCTGCTTTTAGACACTGCCAGGAGGAGCATCCAGGCTGAACTACAGGGCACCATATCAGAGAAACTCACCCTGCAGAAAGAGCTGTGAGATACACACTATAAATCATTCACAGCAGGAAAAATCTTATGTTGCTGATGCCAAATGCTGTATCCAAGAAAACGCTACCGTATTTTGGCTCAAATTCATCTCACTTGTAGATTGTTAGATTAGGTTGATGGCAAAATGTTGCATGATGCTTGAAAACCATTAACAAAACTACACAAGATAAAATAAAATATGATTGTAAATCACAGTTCTGACATAATGTACTGTAAGTGACATCAGGATCTTAATTTTGTTTGTAATCGTCAGCTCTTTTAATTTCTCTCAAAGGGAGGCACTGAAGGCAGATCATGGCAAACTGCAGCAGAGTTCCACCGTTGCCCAGGAGACAGCTGTCAATCATCAGCAGATGCTGGAACGCACCATCCAGAGGCTTCAGGGGGAGCTCAGCTGTGCCGTGAAGGATGGAGCGACCCTGAGAGAAGAGAGAGATCAGATAAAGAGTAAGGTCAGTTGAAAGTTCTTTTATAAGTTAAAAGAAAAGGACACAAGCAATGTTGTTTAAATGTAAATGAATGATACAGATAGTTCTGGCACTGAACCACATTTGAAACATTTATTATTATTATTATTATTATTATTATTGGTAGTGGTAGTAGCAGTAGCAATATGTATTATTATATTATATTATATTATATATAATGTATTAAAAGGTATCATAATTATATATGATCAATTATACATAATATACATATACACATTTTATAATGTATTACTTATTAAAATGATTAATTTGATAATAAAAATAAATAAATTTTTATGAATAATAATTATGATGCAATGACAATAACAAAATGATTTAATAATAATAATACTACTACAATGTTTTATTAAAGTATACATAATTATATAATTAATATACACATTATACAAAGTATCATATTAACATGATTAATTTGATGGTAATAACAATATGGTATTTAAATTGTTATTAAAAATAATGATGATGATAATAATGATAAACTAATAATTATATAATAATAAATAAATATTGTATTTATTATACATGTATTGTCATGTATTATAATTATTAATATTAATGTTAATATATTATTATTTTTATTGTTATTGTTTTTATTAATAGTATTAAAAAGCTGCCGTTTTATCAAAGCAATACAGCAACAAGTGCTTGTGCATTAGCACCGTAATTCTTTTCACATCATATTAACAACAGCTCTTAACGTTTGTAAAAGCACTGTACCACACAGCCACTTGTGGCCCATTGCTGTAATTAACTTTTTATTTCCAAATCTCAGATGAACTCTGCAGTCATTTTGCTGGAGAAGGAGAAGAACATTCTGGAAACACAGCTGTCAGAGATCAAGGTACTGCTGACCAAATATGAGGTTACTTCCTGTCCTTCTCTAGTGCATCCAGGAGATCAGTTCAGTTCCTGGTTGAGTTTATACACTGAACTTTGAAATTTTTCTCATGTATTTGCTGGCTATAAAATGGAGCTCATTTGACCTGCTATACTGACTCCACTACAGCAATTACCATAAACATCATCTTCTTCCCCCTGTGATTGACAGGTGGAGTTGACCATGGTGAACTCAGCACTGCGGAAACAGAAGGAGGACAGCAAGGAGCTGATGGAGAGCCTGGCAGCCTTGGAGCATCAGCAGGTTTGAGATCAAAAGATCACGAGATCAAGAGTCAGATGCTCGTCAAAAGAAGAGTGTGCTAGTAAGTCTCTCTCTCTCTCTCTCTCTCTC